AAAAGCAGGGCAATACTGAAAAAGAGCTTAATTTTCTTCATTAGAAATAGAAATGTAATTTATTTCTCTCTAATTATGTTTTTCTTCTGATTGTGAGGTTACCCACGTGTTCTTGATAGATTCATTAAAAAAATGAATGCCAATTGGAAGACATCAAAATGTACATACAGTAAACTGTGTGATGCAGATGATCATGACATGTGCATGGATGGACCTGATGAAAAGTCAAGATTAGCAGGTGGAAATCCTAAATATTCAGAGGAGGACTTCTACTGTGGTTTGTGGTTATAAATAAGCAACGGGTTTTAAAATACTACAATATGCATTCCCGGAAGTTGTGTTTACTCTTACTACAAGGACAGTTCAACTCAAGCAACCTGGGGTTAAGCCTCCTGCTCAAGGGCATAATGGTGATGATGGTGAGTTCATGAATCCCTCCAACAGATTAAAAACAAAAGTGTAGCAGAGTAACTTTATCATGGGTCCAAAGCATCGCTGCTGCTGGAGCTCTAGGTGGAGCCAGGGAGCTGCTCAATGACAGAAAGCAGTCAGCTAATTACAGCTTAGTGACACAAAGTTTAATATATCACCTATAAGAGATAAATCAATGCTAAACTGAGGGTCACTGTAGTTTGAAACGTGAGACAACATATCCAAGGATTCTATTTAGAATGGGGTTTAGAATGACTTTAACTCTTTAATGTGTGAAAAGCTTCATATATATATATATAAAAATATATTTTTTTAAAAGGCTATATGCACAAAACTGAATTTAAATAAATATAGGAGAGGACACTCAAAAAAACAGCAGATTTTTTGTCAATGAAATATCACAGTGTTTTCAGGTTGTCTAAAGAGTGTGTATGTCTCCTCATTGTATTTGGAAAACTAAACCGAGTGATCCCAGGGCAAAGGTCAGCGATGACAGTTGTGCTAACATGGCATTGCTGTGTACAGAGAAACAATGAGGAGCTTCTAAAAGAGCCATTTGAAAGAAAACCCAGCTCTTATTTGAGCTCCAAAAACAAGGCAATTTTCAGGTTTCAATCTGTAAATAAGAGTCAGCTTCTATCAAAGATGAATCTTCACAACAGTGTAATGACTGTCACTACTATTAGCAAATGAAAAAAGAAGTGTTTTCCTATAATTAAAGATGAAGTCACACTTCTGCGTGTTTTTCTGTGGAATAACTACCTGAGGCGGCCTTTGCTGAGTGCTTCTGCAGGAAGTCCAGAGTCTGAGCCAGGGCTTTCTTATTGCAGTGAGTGGAGAGCTCTTCCTTACATTCAAAGCACCTGTTAAAGGTGAGCAAAACTAATGTCAAAATGCAATTTATTATGCATTTTATGTCTAATACAAAAGAGCTTACATGTCTTTGAAAGCTGTATTTATTTGACCAAAAATACAGTAAAAACAGTAATATTGTGAAATATTTTAATGAATTGTTTTGTATTTTAATACATTGTTTTGTAATTTATTCCTGCGATGTCAAAGCTGAGTTTTTGCAAATCATTCAAATTTTCAAATAACTTTGTTTCTTTGATTAATAGAAAGTTCAAAAGAACTGCGTTTTTTTTTAAATAAAAAAATAATAATAATGTAAATATTAAAATGAAATGCATCCTTAATAATTTCTTTAAAAAAATCCTTTGTGTATATGGAAAAATGATAAAATAATTATGCAATACAGCATAATCAATTGACGTTTCCTACCAGGCCTTCCATGTACTGAGGCTGATGGTGATGCAGTGAGAGTCAGAGCGATGAGCTTGCTGATGTTTTGTGGAATGCTGAGTTTCTGCCTGGTTACAGCCCTGGAAGAGAGAGCAACAATAGCAAGGTTTGAAGGTTGGCATATATTTTAAGATCTAGTCAAGTTTTGGTCAATATGTTTTTTTCCCACTGTCAAATCAAGGTCAAACAAAGTCTCTACCATACTCCCAAATATATTGAATAGCTTAAATGACCCATTCAAATACTGTGAGCAAAAGGCAAAGGAAACAGTAGGGTCACTCAATCTACTTTCAAAAATGCTGTGCGACCAGGGTAATAATATGAGCTTTTAAGCATAGGCCTAATAAAAGTGTATTTCCCCTTGGTTTTGACACTTGCAGTACCCAACAACCACTGCTGCCATTTTTATCACCTCTTTTCACAACACTAACGTTCAAAAGTTTTGGGTCAAACTTTTGATACTTTTATTCAAAAACACAAATTGATCAAAAGTGACTGTAAAGACTTTTGCATTGTTACAAAAAAATTATATTTCAAATAAATGCACCTTGGTGAGCGTAGGATACTTTTTAAAAATCATACTGACCCCAAACTTTTAGACAACATATTCACAAAATGCCTTAAAAAAGCATAAATGCTTAAAATGACTTTCTGTGAAAAAATTATTTATAATTTTTTTTTTTAAGTTTTGCCAGTAAAGTTTCTAATATTTGTGAAATATTAATATGCCGTAAACAACCTGACACTGCGCACTGACAGAACTGCATAGATTGTAACACAATATTTTAGTGTTTCAGAGTGAGAAGATCTCACCTGGAACCCGCACTTGAGGCACACGAGGATGTCATGTACTCCTGCTGCTTCTCCCTCAAGCACATTCCTCTCCTTAAGACAATCGGAGCACACCGACCACATGCTGCCTGTCAATGCCTTCTTCACTGAGCTGAGGTCCACAGCCCTGCTCACATGCTGACACGTCAACCCTAGATGTCACAAGAATATACATCTTTACTGAAGAGTTTACAACTCTATACAAGCTTTGTTAAATCCACAATCTGAATTGGAATGATTAAGGAACTACATGCATGATAGATCCTTAATGTCTGATAATTGCTTTGTATGCTTCTCTGTGATTTTGCAACGTACATCAATGAACAATGTACAGGCATGAAAAATGACATCATAACCTTTCCTTACCGCCAACCTCGTCGGACGAGTCTTCATCGCGAGGCTTCTTTGGCTTGTTAGACCGCTTGGTCATGTCTGCGGTTTTTAAAGAGAAGGGGTCTTTCAACCGCATTTGTATCTGGGGGGAAAAAAATGACTAAGTATGAGAACCAACAGCACAGTTAAAATTGTGTTTCTGAAGCCTAACATTCTCAAATAACACATACACATGAGGGCCTCAGCACACTTCCGAGGTGGGCACAAAATGACAAAATTATTTAAAAGACTTATATTAAAATAATCCATTGTAACTAAAAGACTAAAATTATTTTAAAGAGTTAAACAATTTATATTGAATTACATAAAAAAAAGTATATATTTTTTATTTTAATAAGTAATCATAATAAAACAATCCAAAGCAGCCTATAAACTGCTCAAATAAGGACGCACAACATTTAAACTGATATTATATTTCTTCTTATTCTGATTTTTCCCCACTAACGTTACACTGTGTGTTTTTAGTGAAGAACAAGATTCTGGAAAGCTCTGGAATGATCTATCTAATTATCTATCAATTATCTTCAGTCCTGCGAATTTTTCCTTTCCATCTCAAATATCTCAGTGGGGAAAACACTACAGTAGCAGACTACCCGAACTCTCTGAACTCATGAATACTGTAAGATGACAGCAATTGAATACGGGTTAGATAAGGAAGTATCCTGTCAGCAGTTTAACCATTCACTATAACTGACGAATCGGTAAGTGAGGATAATAAAGCAATACGGTATAATTAGTTATTAGCAAACCACTGTAGAAAAACAAATAAGAGCACGACACCTGAGACTTGCCCAGGTAACTGATACAAGTACTGACAACAGATACCGGCTAGTTAAAGGCCTTTGCTTCCCTAGTATTAAGTAAGATCTGTTTATAACACACAGTTAAGAGTAGCTACAACAGTAAAAGGTCGTTGGCTTATAGTAATAAACCCAACTCACCCTGTTTATGTTCCCTCCTCTCTAGGTTCGCAACCAAGTGAACGTCAGTTGACAAGTGGCCAGGTGGAAGAGCGAGGCTAATAACTTGCATATGCTTCCAAGTTTATAAATACGGAAGAATTCCTGTCGGTAGTTTGGTGTTCGGATCTAAAACTTCGACAAGAATCGAGCAATCCCGAGACAGTTTGTATTTTGATTTATAGAGTTTGTCGGCGTATTTGGTGGCATTTGGGGAAGAACAACAGAAAGCACAAGTATCACATATGTCACGTGGTCACACCCTCAACGACGCGCTACGGGTACTTGTATGGTGAAACTCGTTTGGGTATCTGCTCAGCTCAGACGAAAAAGTACTGTAGTGTTTTGTAAAAATTTAAACACAAAAGAGCTATTTGAGAATGCAATATTATTGTTATATATAATGTAAAAAGTGTCACATTTTCACTCTTTTTTTGTTATTAGAGTAAATGTGTCAAAAATAAAATAAGAAGGGGGGGGGGGGGACTCTTTTTTATTTTTACTTTTTCTTCTTATTTTTTTTTTGCATACTTTAACCATTTATTATTTGCTGCATTATAAGTGCATTATATCCGGCCGATTATTTATTTTATTGTGCATGAACATTCCTCTTGTCTTGGTATTTTTTGTGTTAATATACATATTGCGATCATTTTAATGAAAGTTAGGCCTATATATTATTAACAATGTTCAAATGTCAATTAAACCACACGTCAACATTAAACAAATGCTTTCATTTGCAAGCACTAATATTTACCGAGTGCCCACTTTCTCTACTGAGATTTGTTTTTATAATTAGTTTAATATCGGACGTGTGGGTCTGAGCAAACGTAAATTATGCATTAACATGACTTAACATAACCACTTCGGATTCTGTTAAATAATCATTCACTTGCACGTCAAAATATAGTATAATACTTTGTTGAACACATATGCAAAAAAATAGGAAATGAGAAAATATGAAGAAAACATGCAAATAAAAAAGAAAAGGGGAAAAAACTATATCGTTATATATAAACAACCTAAAAGTGGAGTTGTGGCAAAAAAAAAAGAGTAGCATACGTCACTGGTAATACGTAGTAGTTGTGCGCATGCGTACAGGAGTAGTTTATAGCTGCAATTCTGCTACGTAGCTTAGACTTGCGTCCAACCTTGTTTTCGTCGATATTTAGACACAAAACAAGGGAAAAAGTAATATCGTCATCTTGCAGCTTTCTTTACTATAAATTCTAGCATGGCGTTAAATGTCTGTTCACGGCTGACGAGAAGTTTAGTCCGCGTTGTAGCGAGCAGAAGTGTCATTCTTGTCACAAGACCACTGACGAGTTCATGCTGGACACATTTACGTTGCTTACAGCGTGAGTGTTGAAATATTGTAGTGTGTAAATGTTATACATCGTGATTGACATCTATAGATCTGGAAAATCCCGGCAAATCTTGCATTCGTCTTTACAGCTTTAACATATGTGATTTCTCCCTCTGCGTTTTTTGAAAAAGTTTGGGCTGTAATAAGTAGGCTACTTAAAAAAATCCAAAAACCCAAGCTTGTATAATTTGTTCTAAAAGGTGACATTTTTGATTTTTAGAGGTAAAATGTCACACAACGACAACTATGTCTAGCAAAAGAACGGCCTCTGTCGGTCAAGTGTGTGTGTGTGTGTGTGTGTGTGTGTTTGTGCGTTATCTTTCAGGTATCCGCGTCATTCGTTATGATGGTGCTTCTTCGTTACTAAATTTCAGCTCTTCTAGCCAGCCTTCAATAGATGTGTCATATGAGCAGCTGAAGAAACTGCTGGTGTCCCGATCCGGATTGGTTATAGACGTCCGTGAGCCGTGGGAACTCAGGGAATACGGGAACATACAGGGGTCTATTAACGTTCCACGTAAGTCAGTGAATGTCCTCATCCATGTAGCCTACTGTATATTTAAAGTCTCATTATATAAATTACAATACTGTACCCTCTCATCTGCAGTGGGACAGTTGAATGGAGCTCTCCAGCTCGAACCTGATGAATTCAAGGAGAAATACAGAGGGGATATGCCATCACAATCCCAAAATATAGTGTTCACCTGCCTAGCTGGTGTAAGAAGCAAAACTGCCCTGGAAGCTGCAGTGTCATTAGGATACACCAAGTGAGCAATTATGCTTATTATAGAACTATTATAGTGCTTGTTTCTTTGCCACTTTTTACACAGCTTGAGTTCTGCGCGAAACTTTGAAAAGCATGACTTCTCAGGACTATTATATTTTCAGTCCAGAAATCATAGAAAATGACTCTAAATGTAGCATTTACAGCATCTGTTATACCTCACGGCAGTAGTCTTCAAATGGGTAGTCACCAATTAGTATTTGATTTGAAAGTAAATTTGGTCAAGAAAAAACATATCAAAATAAGTATTAATCAAAAATGCAATATTAAGCTAAGTTCAACCAAAGCTAAAGTTCAGCTATATGTTTCATTATCCCTCCTACATTATAATGCAATGGTTACATTAAATTGTACTGTACGTTATGTATATGATTCTGTGCGTCAATAATGATTATTTTAATGCAGGGGTGCCCAAATGTTTTACTATGATGGGCCAAAAATTAAACTTGCCGAAATTAAATGTTGCATTTTATTTTATACAAAGTTAACTTATATTCTCTACATTTAAATGCAAAGATTTAACAAAAAAGGTAAAAACAAAAATATACATTAGAAATGAAGATATGCTTCAATGGCATGTTTATGTCCTATTTTTCTCCTCCTGATATGGCATGGCAGGCCAAATCAAAGGTCATCACAGAACAAATTTGGTTTAGCCACCTCTGTTTTAATGGTTTTTCATTGTTATTATTATTACAAGTATTTAAATACATCAAAGGTGTACAATGTGTCTTGTGGAAGAACATTGTAGCCGGAGCTACTTGTCTGTTTATGTATATGACAAGTCATGTCGGTACTGAGTGTCTAACTTAGTCTGAATATAAACACTTCTTAGGCATACCATAGTGATTCAAAATAAGACAAAAACACAGTTTGGAAGATGGATTCATGATGTACTTCCTCATTATTTTAAACAAAAAAGTTACATAGTTTGCCTTTAATGTAGTATGATATATACATTTATAGGCAGGGCTACTGTGAATTTTATACAGTATACTACAGGTGTCTGTCCACCAAGAAGAAGCAACAGGATATGCACCAGATTATACAAACCAGGGGCCGTATTCACAAAGAATTTTAAGGCTAAAAGTAGCTCCTAACTGGCGAATTTAGGAGCAACTCCTAAAAATAATGGGCGTGTCACTCCTAACTTTAGGACTCCTAATTTTTTGCACTAAGAGTAATTCACGAAGCATTTTAGCCCTAAAAGTAGCACCTAAGGGCCCATCCACACTACTGCGTTTTAGTTTAGAAACGGATAATTAAAACGAATACGATCTCCGTCCACACCAGCGTTTTAGCTGCGTATTAGAAATTGATCTCCGTCCACATTAAAACGACTGAAAACGCGGATCACGTGACCATTCACCAACACTGGGCATGTGTGTGCCGGTGTAAACACAACTTCATTGATAAAATTAGCCCACCATGCTCTGGGTTAACCCCAAACCGACGCTCCATGTACGCCGCCGCTGCACACGGGAATTGTCACAGATCGCTCGAATAATAGCTTGACTCCGGCGCATGTAGGCAGTTATAGCGTTGTAAAATGCAGAATTTACTTGTACAACAGCTGCTAGCAAAGATATACGCCATGACTGATGACACCCAATCATAGAGCCGAGCGTGAGCCTCTACTACGTCATCGTTTCTAAAGTCCTCTGTTTTGACCCGTCTACACTAAAACGCCCTCCGGAGAATCAAAACGAAAAACGGATCGGCAGCGTTTCTAAACTTTTCCGTTTTGGGTCTCCGTTTTTGCCGTTTTAGTGTGGACGGGAGGTGCAAACGTAGCAAAAGGTCTCCGTTTTTAAACGAAAACGCAGTAGTGTGGACGGGGCCTAAGTCTGGGACAGCTTAAAAGAAGTCGAGAGGACTCCTAACTCACTAAGACCTATTCACAAAGGATTGTAGCACATTTTTTTCTAGCACCAACTGGGCCAGCAGCAGTAACTGATCCTGCGTCCAGTTGGGCTTTCTTTTCCGTTTTGGCGAGTTCATAATCCACCGTCATTCAACTATTACATTACTTCAATAGAAGCAACATTTCCTTGTTTTAAGTTTATTTTTCTATTTAGGCTAATATGATGTCAATTAACCAAGCAAGTGTTAATGCAAGTGTCGTTTTTCATTATTAGGCAAGTGGCGGTTTTCATTAGGGTATTAGGCTACCTTGATTTAATTTAATTTAATTCACGACTTTTCTCTCTCTCTGCCTTTTTAGAATTACACTTCACTGGGGCCTGCACAAACATGTCATTATATATGCATTTCGATGACATTACTATTATTATTTTGTGTAGGACACAATTCCATGATTTGTTGCGTCTGTGTTATGTTCCGCATGATGGCCCTGTCATCTAACAACCAATCACCGTGATCATTGCGAGGAAGCTCGTGCATGAGAAGTGACGTCATCCATAGCAACGAAGACTCACTCTTAGTTTAGGAGTTGTCATTTTTCCTTTCTAAGAGTAGGTCTGAAAGGCGTTGTGAATAACTTTTAAGAGAAAACTCCTAGCTAAAATATTTTAGTGCGATTTAGGAGTACTCCTTGTGGTAAGATAAAATTCTTTGTGAATACGGCCCCAGATTTGTTTCTTGTATCAATAGGCTACGCTACAGTATCTTGAAGTTCTGTTTGTATGGCCTTAGTTGCCTAATTGATTTTTCTCTTCCGGTAGGGTTCAGCATTTTCCAGGCGGATGGCAAGAATGGGCAGAACGTGAATTAATACAAACCAAAGAGTGATTGTCCCATTGTAGTCATGTTAACACTGTGAAAGAAGTTTGACTTGTACTGCAATCTCAATTGACACTGAGTCAAAATGTGCCACTAAGACTCTGTAATTTTAATGGTATTGACTGGAAGTAAAGGAATAGTGTGATTACATTATAAACCAAGATGCATTAGTAGTATAGTATTGTTAGAATATTGGCATCAATGCACATTCTACTCTATTTCATTTGACATATAGCCTACTGTAGTATAGTTGGAATGGGAAGTGCAGTGACCTGCAGTGTGTATGGTACAATTTCTGTTCAAAGGGCTGTTGGCTATTTGCCTAATACGTAAACCTAAATATTTTGAGCAGGCAATCCAAATATCAGGGCAAAAACATTTATCAAATGATTTATGTTCAGTTTGCATAGTACTATAAAGTGGAGTGTTGTAATATTGAAAGTAAAACTTTAATGTTACATTGTGTGTGTATTGTGCTTATTTGAAAAACTATCTGTGCATTATCTCACATTGGTCATTTTTGATAAAAGTGTAAGTTTAAACAAACCCCTAACCTATTAAAATGTAGGGTGTAACTCATCCTTCATTTGAATGTCATCATGTACAGGCTAGAATTGCTTGCATTTTCTTCACAAAATATAAAAATCTGATGTAATTTATGTCATTTAGTGAGATAAAACTACCAAGATACACTTTAATTGCTGGTTTATGTGCAATATAGGCCTATATTTATTTAGAAAGAAATAACCCTTTAATGCAGCATTAAATTGATCAAAAAATACAGTAAAGTCATTCATTATGTTACAAAAGATTTCTTGAAATAAATGCTGTTCTTTTGAACTTTCTATTCATCAAAGAATCTGAAAAACAATGGATCACGGTTTTAACAAAGATATTAAGCAGCACAACCATTTTAACAATAATAGAAAATGTTTTTTTGAGCCGCAAATCAGAATATTGAATGATTTCTGAAGGATCATGTGACACTGAACACAAGTAATAATGCTGAAAATTCTGTTGTTGTTTTTTAAATGCAAATAAATTGCATTTTAAAATATATTAAAACAGAAAACAGATATTTTGAATTCTAATATTATTTCACAATGTTACTGTTTTACTACTTTTAACCAAATAAATGCAGTGAGCATAAGAGACTTCTTTCAAAAACATTAAATCTTACCGATTCCAAACTTTTTCAACAATTTCTACCTTACAAATAAGAAAACCCTCTTCAGCCATACATAATCTGACTGGCACTTTAAAAGACTTTGTTATTGTCCTATACAAGTTGCAATGTCATCTGTGACTTATGACAACAGCTATTGTACTGCCATTTTATAATAATATCATCAGAATTTCTTACACACTAGCATGTGTTTTTGAGCCATAAGTATGTGCCCGATTATAAGAATTATGTGTACCAGTGCCATTAATGTGGATGTAATAAAGCTGTTTTCACCAATAAATCTGAAAACAAAAAATGTAACTAAGCACAAATGGACAAAGATAATAGTGCCTTATTATTGCCAGTAAAGAGGCTAGCCTATTGTCTTTATCAATGGTGTCATTGTTTTTTTCTGTATATTAGCACTGCTACAGGAATGACTAATGTACTGTAATTGAATGAGATAGCAGGAGTAAAATAACGCCTGGATGATTCAGCTCATTTAGCCACTGTTCACATCTCAGAGAGATGCAGACCCAGCCTTCCTCCCACATGGCTGGCAAATCTTAGATCGTTGGAAAGAATCTCATAAACCACATTCTGTCAGCACAAAAATGGCAGCATTGTGTAATGAAGAAAACATTAGAGCATAATTCGGCTGATACTCTATCGGCACCTTCTTTTAGGGAAAATAGTTATTTTAGGTTCTTTAGATTATGATTAAAAACACTGTGAGGACTTCCCACTTAAATCCTTTAGTCATCTCAAGCGTGAATCTCAGACAGGCCATAGAAAAACACTGGGGTTTGTTTTCGTTTCTCTTCGCATTTCTCATTTTTACACATACTTCCATTTAAATAGTGACCAGATTAATGTCATCTCTCACATATCAGTCAGTATTCCCATGCACAGATTGACCCCGTGACACTATTTCTTGCTCTGTCTAGAAGCATGTATAATTAAAATCCCTACATATCAAAGCACATCAACATCACGACTGCCTCTTAATTGAACCTTCCATTCAACACCTCTCAAGACCCTGACAGATGTTTGAGTGACGGGCCCATTTCTTGATGGTGCAGAGGCTCAACATTCCCAAAGCACTGACTCATGTTTATAGCGGAGTATAAAATGCCTGGACCTCTGGGAGTTTGGATTTGTGAACAGAGCTTGCAAAAGGAAGATCAACAAAGTAAGGCCTTAAAGTTTAGCCACTGATCAATGATGAGTCGCAGCCCAGAAAGGATCTCATCCTATCGCCGGCATTTCGAGGACACCAGCACCTCCTCTTACCAGGTGAGGGTCAGCAGCCCTTCTCCCGTCAGACGGGATGTGGGGAGGTGCCGTTCAGCCAGCTACTCCCGTAACGCCACCGCTGTGAGAAGCAGTATGGCAGTGGGACGGAGGACCATCTCATCCTCACGCAGCCAGCCCCTCATGACTGGGTAAGCATCGCACATGAAGCAAAGGAACAATACTGAACATCATCATATGCATTCACACTTAATGGAATTTGTTAAACCAACTGAGGAGAATAAATGTTTTATCTGCCTAGCAATGGAATTAATGATTTCTGTTATTTATAGGAGGTGCACAGTGTAACTTAAAAATGTTATATACATGTGTAAGTTATATATTTGCTTACACATATAACATTAATACACACACACACATATATAGCCTATGTGTGGGTGTCTGTGTGTGTGTGTGAATAAATTCCATGTAAGTTTTTGTATATAGTTTTTTGTATATAATTTGTGTATTACACATGGCAAATATTTAATAAAATATCGAATTAATAATACAATTAATTTAAATATTTGTGTAACTGTATACATAAAACTCAATTTTCCATTATAGAGACTTTTGTTATTTTTATTTTTTTATTGTTGTTTTCTCTTATTTATATTTTGTCTTATAATAATAATTATTTATACAGATTATAGGCTATGAGTTAAGATATTTTTAATCAATCTCAATACAAAACTAACAAAAATGGGTTGCTTGCAAATATAGGTGGCTTTAATATTTGAATACTTTTCGAGTTTCGTATTTAATTAGTAGCCTACTATTGACCGGTGGCAAATAATTGCTTTGTTAGAACACACTTTCTTTTTCATTTGACTTATTGATCCGTTACAAATCACACAAAGCCTCTAGGAGACTCGAGCGCTCTGTGTGACCGTGACCTAATAAACCCAAAGTGACAAATAAATGAATCTTCACAATATCAGTAATACGCTTGCATTCACTTACAGTTGGTGTTTTACCGTGAAATTCAAGTTATGCTAAATCTGAATTGATTGCAGTGTCGGAATGGGAGCCCTCTGTGTCAGTGGAAGGGGTCCAGGTTTCGATCTCGACCAGGCTGCTGCAGAAAACCGTGAATTCCTCAGCACACGAACCAGTGAGAAACAAGAAATGATTCTGCTCAACGATCGACTGGCAGCATACATTGAGAAGGCAAGTGCACATTTGCACAAAATGAATAGCCTATGCCCTTGGTGCAATTTAAAACACTATGCACACAAAGCTTTGGCAGCACTTTTATCCACAAAAAAATATTGTATCATTCAATGAACCTCTTAATAGAATTTCTTTTTCTTAACACGAAGAGCATTTTTATGATCTAAAGAAAATTTTTCCACTATATGACCACAAAGAACCTTTTGTGGAATAAAAATATTCCATGCATGTGTAGCTTTAGTATGTCACATTATATTTATAACACCATAAGCTACTATAATTGATAGCCTAACAAATATGCAATATATTTTACATTGCTCTTAATGCTCTTGGAGACGAGCCTCATTTTTAGAGCCATCTTTGACAGCATTTGTCTGATTTGGCCACGGTTGAATGCGTCGCGCTCACTGGCAGTGTGGAAATGCCACTGCTGGCCCACGAGATAAAGCGCATTATTCGCACTTCTGTGGGCATACAGAGACAGACAGGGCACATAACACGCGTACTGTGTGTTCTTATTCTCCTGTCGAAACAAAGGTCCGGTCGCTTGAGCAGCAAAACAAATTGTTGGAGACGGAAATCGAGTCCCTGAAGAATCGATTCTTGAAGCCCACCGGCCTCCGCTTGCTGTACGAGGAGCAACTCAAGGAGCTGAAGAGGCTGGCTGACCAGATGAGAGTGCAGCGGGTAATCATTTGAACAGATCTTTATTTAATAGCCTAATAATTAACAAAAATCATATTTTTAAAAACGGCCTAATTAGTTAATATTCAGCCATATTTACACAAGGCTGTTTTAAGACTTAAACATTTTTGCCCAATGTTGTCTTTGATAACTCTGAGGCGATAATTCGCAGTGAGGAGAAATAGTCTCTGACTTCGACAAATCTATGAATTATGATAATAATGCTTCCAATTCATTTGAAAGGACCTTGCTATTGCTGCAAAGGATGCTATGGCGGGTCAGTTGGAGATGATTAAAATTAAATATGAGGAGGCCTTAGAGATGAGGAGGAAAGCCGAGCTTGACATTGAAGCTTTCCGTCCGGTATGATTCCCATCAAATTGCCTTGTAACATTTATCTTTATTAACAAAGAAATGAGATCTCTTACGAACATCTTTTATATTCTCAGGACGTGGACGCAGCCACCTCCGCGCGCATTGCTTTGGAGAAGCAGCTAGAAAACCTGGAGGTGGAAATAGAATTCCTTCAGAGAGTTCACAAACAGGTAATTAAATCACAACAATAATTATACTTGCACTTGATAAATAAAATCGAAATGTTTTAATGTTTCAAACCGCACGCTTGCAGGAAATCGACGAGCTTCTGAAACAGATTTACACAGCCCACGCCACAGCATTAGACGTCTACAGTCTCCCCGACCTCTCAAGCGCTCTCAAGCAGATCCAACACCAGTATGATGACATTGCAGCTAAGAACTTACAGGTGGGTCTCTTTACATTACAAATATTGTTTAAAATGTCTGGAATTGAGGTGGCTGATGAGCATTGAACACACTGTCTGTGAGTAGTTTTTATTAAAAGAAAAACACTGCAGTTTAAACAAAACACACTCCCTAGTCTCCATATTAACAAAACTACTTTTCATTTGCCTACAGGAAATGGATTCTTGGTACAAAAATAAATTTGAAGATCTCAACAACAAAACAACAAAACATGTGGACAAGGTGCGAAGCGTGAGAGAGAATATTGTCACTGCGAAGAAGGATGTAAGTATTAATGATCTTTCTTTAACATGCTTACATTGGGCAATAAATCTTTGATACTTTGTTGATTTTTACTATATAACAGTAGTAAAATAACAAATAACGTCTAAAATGATTACAGTATTCATTGTTCCCTCTTGTTTTTTAGATTCAAAATAAGGAGCGTGACTTGGACTCTTTGAAAACCAAAAATGAGGCTTTGGAAGCACAGATCCGTGAGACTCAAGAAAAGTACAGGAAAGAACTAGAAGAACTCCAGGTGAGACAAATATAATTTGGCCTACATGCAAAGTAAAATCGAAGAAAGAAATTCAAGCATAAATTATATAAACACTTCTGACAGGCAAGAATTGAGGCCTTGCAGCTTGAGCTGAAATCCTCCAAACAGAAGATAGCGCTGCTCCTGCGTGAATACCAAGATCTGCTCAATGTGAAGATGTCCCTCGAGATCGAAATTACCACATACAGGTAGCTTTTAGCAACTTAAATATTTGATCACATAAAACAGTTTATACCCAAACAAATCCCACAACACAGAGTAAAACATACCAGAATGTAATCATTTCGAAAAGTGCGATTTTCTTAAATTCTTCCTCCTTAATTGTTGTTAACAGGAAGCTCATTGAGGGTGAGGACTCTCGTCTGTCTTCCATGGTACAGAGCATGCAAACCATGTCCCTCATGAGTGGCAGCATGAGTGTTCACAGTGCTGGAGCCACAGGTGTTGCAGGTGCCCTGGGTGCAGGAGTTGCTGATAGAGCGGGTGGAGGTCTTGCCGGAGGTCTAGGTGGTGGTCTTGCCACAGGTCTAGGAGGAGGCATTGGCGGAGGTCTAGGTGGGGGTCTTGGAGGAAGTCTTGGTGGCAGCCCTGCCACAGGTCTTGGAGGAAGCATTGGAGGTGGTGTTGCTGGAGGTCTTGGTGGTGGTCTTGGCACAGGTCTTGGAGGAGGCATTGGTGGTGGTCTTGCTGGAGGTCTTCCCGGAGGTAATGACAGAGGTTTTGTCAATGGGATCACCGGTGGGGTTGGCGGCCCAGGCACCACTGTCGACTATACTCAAGAGCAGGCTGTGGAGATGACAGAGAGGAAGACTGTGCTTATCAGGTAAGCATTCAAATAAAGCTTTCTAGAACCGTGGTTTTGCGCATGTGCTCATTCTGTGGTGTTTGTGCCGAAACTTGGGTTCAATTCTGGCCATGAATCATATTCCCATCTCACTCCCTGTATACATTTCCACAGTGTTTCATGTCCTCTCTCAAATTTCTCTGCACATAAAAGGTACAAAAGTTGTCACTGGGGCAGTTCCCTTTTGAAAGGGCACCACCCTGACAGCTTTTGTACCTTTTTTTCTAAGCATTCTATCAATAAACTTAAATAAACAAAGAAGATAACAGATACTGCGGAGCTTTGAGAAAATAAAAAGTGTAGAATTAATATTTTAGAGTTTCATTTTAGCCTGCTGAATAAATTGCATTGTTTTCTCCCACAGAACAATTAAAACTGAGGATGACATTCTGGAGAGCAACACACAGGAGAAATCTTATTCCATCTCTGGAGCAGCAGATGATGATGAGTAGTGGTGTTTTCTGCTCACCAGTCATGCCTTCAGATGCGTGTGCCTTACTACTCAAAGATCAGCTTGCGTCTTGCATTGCTCGTCCACAAATGGAAATAAAGCTCTGAGCATCATGTCCTTTTGTGAGTTTTGTTTCAACATTGTCTGTGCATAAAATCCCCTCTTACACAATATCAACAGGTGTAAAATGCAGGGCACCGTTTATGACGAGGAAGGAATAGACAGGAAAACCTCTTAAGGGAGTGTGATTGTGTCACTCAAGGCTCAGTTTATGACCTTGATTCTTTGGCCAAAGGGGAACCCCAAGCTGTGTGGTATACTGCCACAACAAGAATCACACTCACTATGGCCCCATTCTATCTAAATCTGCCCTCTTCATCTCCATCTGATCCATCCTGATCGGTTCACACTGGAACGTGCCAAACACTCAAAACTGTAGAAGTGTGAGGTAGATGTGCACTGGAGTACTTAAACATAAAACTACTGTCGGCAAAAGCAGCATGTAGTTGACCCAGTTTATCAAATTTAAAATATGCATTTACTTTAAATGAAAAACTGATGATTCGATTCAAAACAACTTTCAGATCACGAGCCTGGCCCTGAGCACTGATAAGACAACTTTAAACCACACTTGAGTGAATAGTCTACAGCAAACAAAAGAAATGCTCACAACAAGCACTAAAACGTGTGACTGTTGCTAGAACTAATCAATCAAGACAAGAAAGTCTAGATATTGAAGGAAGTATCCAGGGCTGCGTTTCCCAAAAGCATCGTAAGCCTAAGAAGTTCGTAAAAACGATCGTACGACTGATCTTAATATTATGGTCTGTTACCCAAAAGCATCGTAACTTAAGTAGCACTTGAAAATCTTCGTAGAACTACGAGTACTCTGGAGTAATCGTAAATCCCCAAGTGCATCGTAAAACAGATTTATGAGGTCACCTGCAGGACAACCGGCAGATTACACTTTTATCTAGATTTAACAGATTACACTGCAACTTGAGTATAATATAAGGTTTTGACTGTACTTTATTGTACACTTTATTGTACTCGTGTTTTGTTTAAAGTAATTTATAAATGAAATAATTAAAATGGGAAGAAAAAATAGAAATACACATCTAAATTGAATGAGTGAACAAAATAAATCATAAAAGAAGTGAAATAGTTCGTTGTGACAGCAGTTTTGTGTCATTTTTAATACCAAAAAAACCCCCAATAACAACATTTATTTGTTTTATTGTTATTATTACAATTATTATACTGTACATATCTCAGCCTATTCGCTAGATTTTTTTTTTTTTTAATTGACAGCACTGGAAAGATTCAGGGTCTTGAACATATCGGGTTAATCAATATAGCCCCTCATTTCTTTAGCTATACGGTCATCATTTCCACAAGCTCATCCCACCCGAAACGGAGGCGCAATTAACGGCCAGTACTTGCCTTGCATTGTTTCTCCGCAGAAATGCACTGGACATTATGAAAAACCCAGAAATGTCAATCCTGTCCATTAATGAGGTTGCCACAGACAGTTTTCGGTGATGGTCGCTGATTCATATCATTAGTATGAATTTTGCCAGTCATGTAAAATGCATTACGAGCTATAGGCGTTGTAAAGTTGGTGATATGCATTACGGCATGATAAAAATGAACTGCCTCATGCATTGCCTGCATGCGTGCATTATCAATATAATTAGCTGCGTTCACGTGAGTGGCTAGTGACCTTTCAAAGACGGGAGCTATCCAGGGTCCTGCCAGGCCACATGAACACTGAGTGCTGCTGAAAAGGGATTTAAACATGGTCATTACAGCTCATTAGAATCAATGCGAAAAAGCAATTACTTTCCTTTAAAGACGATGTATTAATTTAAACATATTTCCATTTATTTTGAGCGAAAACAAATATTGAGAGAAAAAAAGAAGTGTGATTTCTCATCCAAAATGGTGAAACAGGGATTTTCTATGTTAAATAAACTTTAGGCCTCATACAGCACTCAAGATGTCCAAATAAAATAAAAATCCTCACAAATTATATCCAGAACCACATATTTAGCCTATCTGGAGATTATTTTAGAATAGTTTCGTTTTCGGATCATCAGAAAATGTCATGCAGACACCCAAATTATTCAAAATGTTTTCATGACTGAATTGAAAGAATCTCGTCAATGGAATAACTAATGATCTGTCTGTACATCACACAAAACTCCCTCAGTCTTTTTTTTTCCCAGCGTCCACTTAAATGATCTGAGGATTAAAAGGGGGCAGAAGTTGGTGCTCTCTAAAACCTGAGAAATCCTGTCACTTTTTGCATATGGTTTTAGTGCTTTAATCCCAATTAGGCCCGGCTGACACACATAACCATTCACTGCAAACCTCCCCTGAATACATTTGCCTAAAAATGAACTTCACAAATAGAGCTCGCGGTAAAGGCGTTCAACAGCAGAGAGAATCGGATAGACTGAATGTTCATTCTTACGCGCTCGAGTGAAAAAGGGTATGAATTTATAAGGTACACCGAAACATTTCAATTCAGACAAGTTTACACCCCATTATGCGAGGCCTTTCAACTGGGACAAGAGAGGTAAAGTTGGGGAAATTCGGTTCAAAAGGCAGAGCTAACTTTGTTCAGGCTTTGAATACTGAAACGAAGCAGCCCCCTTTCTTTTGAGAGCATTTAGAAATGGGAGCACGCATGAACAGAGTCAAATCAGGAGCCACTTATCTCGCCACTTTCTAATGCGACTTTGAATATTAGTCTGGGTTAAAATCCCAATCATGTCATCTGGTGGGACTCCCATACAAGCATAATTACTATTCAATCGCGTCACTAATGTCCCACCCGCATCCCCTATCTGCGACGCAGCTGGTCCGCCCTTTGTGAGGCTTGCACTTTCCCGCAACAAGAGCGAGTAGGTTAAGCGCATACAAATGTAAGATTAATATTTGTAGCCAAACATATTTTCGTTCATGTTAAATAAATAAATAATCGAAACATTTTTTGAAATTTTCTGACCTTTGTTTCTTGCAGCATATATTAGCTACATTATAGCCTATTATGCTATTAAGCCATGGAATGTTGACGTATATAACTAAAGTAAAAAGAAATGCAGCAAATGATTTGTATAGCCTACAACGGTTTCCTTATTTGCACTGGGAATGAAAGAAAAACGACGAGAAAAGAGCGAGCCTATAAAAGGAGTTTGTATGGCAGAGCATTTATGGTCGGCGTAAAAAAATGTTTTCTATAGAGCTCGGGCATTGTGCATCGTTCAGATAGAGTGGTGAACCCTTGGCACTCAAGCCCAGTTTGGACGCATGAATGAAACCCCTGGTGGGACACTGCAGTTCTTCACACAGTTCGCTGTTACCCCTACATTCATGCTTCATTATTTGGCAACCTGTTAAATCAAATCCCACATTTAGCTCGAATTGTAACGCTGAGACCCTGAGAAAATGCTTTCAACCACTTGACCAACACTTTCTCCGAATCTCACAATCCGACGCGTAAAAAAATGTTCTGGAATGCTCTGTTTGGGTCCACAATATTGTTCCGAAATAAAGCTGCTGCCGTGTAATTAATGTGCCATTTAAAAGACAGGGGACAATGCGAGCGTTCAAGCTATTTGATTTCATTTAATTTTCCATCCCATTTGCTCTGAACACTGCTTTAGCTTCCAAAAACCCTGCTCCAATGAGCGCTTTGGGATGACTTTCACCCTTTGCTTTTCCCGGTTAGGAGGACAGAAAAGAAAACGTCCCCGTTTCCGCCTTTGTGCACAATTTATTAGTTGGAGAACTTCGACTTTAAAGACACAAGACGAGAATGAGAATGGGCCCGGCTGGTGTGAGAGCTGTAGAGGCCGGACCCGCTGTTGCAGAGCGGATGGGAACCAGTCACAAATGGCAACATTAATAAATAACGCAGCGCACAGCCGGCCTTTGCATGCGCCTATTCAAAAATTGTTCGCGTGTCGTTCACGCTCTTTGACTCATTAAGGAGCCCAAAGAGAAGACTCCTAGAAAGGAGCAGTGGGGTACCTTTTCCCGAAGAAAGAAATCCCACCTCTGCTTCTCCAATTACAGCGTAGTGTCATCGCAGAGTCGCCAGGGCAGAGGTTAGCGGGACATGTTCATGGCTTGAATTTATCGCCCACAAATTCTTGTTTCTTCCCTTCGGCCTCTGTTCAGTCATTGATCGGGCCACGATCAAAGAGGTCAAATGAAGTTTTAAAACCAGTGGACGGTCACTTCAAATGACACCCAATGCTCCTGCATAAGTGAAATCAGAGGGCTCCTCTTCTTGACACATGTCTAAATGACAACATAAAACACTAAATTGTTATTTATTAACTTTGTATTCAAAAGAGCAATGCCTTATAAATGTTACATGGGCCAAGTGTATTTATTCGTAGAGGCTAAAATTATCACTTTTATCTGAATGTTGGGTGAAAAAGATGAACTTAGAAAGTATTATTGCTTTCCCCTTGAAATTATTCTATACAAGTAAAAGCTGCTAAAAGATTCAACATTCTCAAGCAGAAACTGTCTTGCACCGGATTTTCTGTTCTGTTTTGTCCTGCGTCTTTTGATAAAATCTTTTTTTCTCCTCTCCATTAGTTCCCTGCAGGGCACTTCATCAAAACTGAATGCGTCCATCCTGATACGTGACCTGTTGTCAAAAAGTGTGAAATGATAAGGTGGTGGTTATTTTGAAAGCGGCTCTTATTTTTGTTGGCTGGTTCTCCCGTTGAGTACCTGCCCGGTCCCAGCACGGCACACGCCGGGAGTCAATAGAAGTTAACAAGTCTCCCAAACATTCCTGCTCCTTTTGTTGAAACGGCAACAGACAATGCAGCCAGGGAGAGAATAAAGAGCTTTGAAGTACATAAAACCTAAAAGGATGCAGCCAAGTAGATTTAAAGTAGTCACTGATTTCCAAAAACTGGTTTGTATAGGAACAATAAAAGGGGAGAGAATTTATGGAGAAATTATACAGTGGATTTGTCACTTAAAATATCGGAACTGTCTGACGGACAAAGCCACATGCTGAGGATTAATGGTTGCGCCA